CTAAAGTACAATCATGAAACAACACCAATGTGCAGATCTTAAACTTTTGAAATAGAAATCCTTGCTCTTCAAACCACCATAGAATGCCTTATTTCAAATTTTATTCTTTTGTTGCAACTTATTTTCTCTTTCTATGACTTTCTTTATTTTGCTTTTTCTATACATTTTCTTCTCTTTATTGTCTTTTTCTATTTCTTTTTTTCTTCTTCTATTCTCTCTCTCTCTCTCTCTCTCTCTCTCTCTTTTTGGCATCCAAACCTAAGAAGGCAAAGACATAGACATTAATGATGTACTTTTCAGAATGAAAAACCAAATAACTCATGCAAAACACTTGCTAAAAAGCAATGAATGGAATGAAAGTAAAGGCTCAAAGAGGTGAAAAAAGGTTAAATGAAATAGCTTGTGTTTATGTAAAGGGTTTAGAAATGAATGCCCCTATTATTCTCACAAATCTAGGCATTAATAAAGCTTTGAAAAAGAATCTAGACAAGTTCTAGAGGTTAACCAAAACTAGATGAAAATCACACAAGATGAGAAAGAATATACGGCTCAACAATCTTTTCATCGAGCTTTTCTCCAAGATGTGTCCTCTTTAAGGATCAAGTTATGAAACAAGGTTAATAACACTGCACCAAAGGCATTCTACTATGCTAACCACCTAAGAACAGAAATCACTCAAATCAAATGCAATCAAACTCAGCTGTGTAACATTCACTAGCATTGTGAAAAAGAATTTTAAAAGGAGATGCCCTAGGATTACAAAAGTCAAGTCAATAACAGAGAAAATAGCAAATCGCCCACATAATAGTGTAGAACATTGAGGCGAGTGAAAATAGAAGGACACAGAAACCAATAGCAAAATTCCCAAGCAAGAATCATTCTCAAATCATGCGATGCAATTCAAAAATCAACCAATAAGGCAAGAAAGAGAGCAATTATAGTAGCAATACTTATGAAACAGGAGCAAATCCAAAAGCAAATTTTTTTTAAATTAAATTTTTAAATTTAGCTCAACTTAGCAACAACCCCTTTCCTACACTTGATCAATACATTGTCCTCAATGTAAGAAAAATAACATTATCTTAACCCAAACTCTCAGGTGAAGTGGAAGTTGTGAAGTCTGATTTGAAATCGAAGCACAACACGTCACTATCACAAAGACGAGAGAAGGGAGAGATAGGATAAGATAATGTGAAATGAAAATGGATAAGTATAAATCAAGTGATCAAAAGAGATGGCAAAAATAGACAAAACAAACAACTACTAAACAAAAATAAACAGCTATAATTATAACTACTGGAGAAGTTCCCTCCGTCACACTTACTCCTAACTATCTTAGCAAATAGATATCACTAGCAATACAACAGAAGGTAAAGGAGTAGAGTGGAAGGGAACAACCATGTGATCAGGGGGTCTTTGCTTCTCGTGGTCGTGCTTCAGTAGATGGCCATTGACTTGTGAAGTTATACCGATCTCCTCATCTACGAGCTCTACTGAAACACCCTACCTTTAATCCCTTAGAGTACACATTTGGAAATATTATGGTTTAAGCGATTCACAAAACAAGCCCGTAGATTGAACTTTGTGATTGGTTCTTGGGTTACTGTTTATTGGTTAAATTCCAGATTTTCAATCCAACTTTGAGCAATCATAACTCTTAGCACACACATCCATTTTAAGTGATCTATCACTTGTTTTAAAGCTCAGGATTTGTACTTTAATCATGCCAAATTTCATGCCTTAACTCATTCATTTGATAGGTCAAAATGGATTTGGAAAGTAACTGCTTTAGGACCTACATTTTATCCATTAAACAATTCTTACTTTAATTCTTCCTTCATACGAACATGCAACAACTAGCTTTATGGATTCCCATTTATTCATATACTTTGAGTTACATGCCATTATAGTATACATCAAACATTACATCACATTTCATGCTTGACATATCCACAATTAATTACATAATTAGTGATATCAATCATTATATTGAAACGCACATAAATTCTCCACTTTCTTTGCTTCCATCTTCTTGCCCTTCTTCATGCATGCCTTCTCTTTATCATTTGACCTACTATGGTTGGTTAAGGGAAGGTGAGATTCAGGAGAATCTCAGTAGCAAACAATAACTACCTAAACATACATGGCAATCTTGGCATTTATAACATGCTTGTAATTTAACATTTCTATAACATAATGACATGTTTGGAAACCATCATGCATTAACCATAAAACACATAGGCCTATGGCACATTTCAAACATATTCATAGTCACAATGTATGAGTTCATAAAACCATATAAATACAAAACATGTCATACATGCAAGCAAATACCAAGCACATAAGAGTAGGATAAAGTTTGCTACCTTGTGTCTTTAAACTTTCTCTTGTTCTTCAACTTGCTCCCTAATCTTCCCAACCATCTAGCTTTTAGTCAACCACATCCAAACCTTCTCTTAGATGTCTCAAGGTCCTAATCATAGTCACAAGGGTCACATTACTCATTAGGACCAAGAATTACACAATATGGAAGACTTATGTCTTTAAACTTAATTCCTTTTTACTTAATTTATAATGTAGTGTTCTAGCTTTGTAAAAATTATTCCCTTAGGCCAATCCTTCACAATTTTGCCCAAGAAACCCAAATATGAGTTTAGATTCATTAAAATCCAACTTCTTCCCCTGGTCCTAGGCCAAAACCGAAATCTGCCACTTAATTTCTAGTTTTGATTCCAATGCTTCCAACTTCATTCTTTCATCTTATCCCTACACAATTGTTCATTTTAAACACATTGGAAACATCAAAATCACATCCTAGGCACAAGAACTAGGTCTGGCCGAAACATTTTCTCAAGTTACACGATTATGAAATTCAACCAATTTCAGCATAAAACCACTTGATTCGTGTTCCTTTCAAGGCTTTGAACATTATTCTAACATCAATTTCATCTTCCCCTATCCTTAACAATTTTGTGCAGAACCTCCCCCAAGGGTTCCAAGCTCCCAAAAATCATTAAAATCCATAACCAAGCTCAACAACAAGAGTAGTGAAAACTATATCAAAACTATGAACATACCTTGTTTTAGAGTTTGATCTTGCATGGGACCATTTGGCCTTTCTTTCTCCCTCTTCTTTCTCTCTCTAGAAACTATTTTTTCAGAGCTTCCCCAAGGTTTCCATGAGCTTGGATGAAATAAGGGGTGGGGAGGGGGTATTTATAGAAAACAAGACTGAATCTAGATCGTTGATATTAAAAATACGTGGCTTGATCTGAGCTGTCCATTTTCTATTTTAATCTTGTGGTGACAAGTGTCCCATGACATCATGCTTACATCATCTTGATGACATCATACTTACATCATCAATCCACATGCCTTTGATCCAACTGTACACGTGTCTTGCATTCGACCGTACACATAATACCTTCTTTTCCCATCTAACCATACACTTGTCTCTTCTATTTTGCTTCATCATTAAGGCATTAAAATATGGAGGAAATTAATATAAAATTCATACAAAATACAACCCTTAGGTATTCTTTCACCTCTCTTGCCATTCTGTACCGTATAGGGTACTTTTTAAGGTCCTGACTTTCCTAGGACCACTGGAACATGTTATGGCACCATTTTCTCTCCTCAAATAAATCCACATGGCATTATATAACATGTCCAAAGAGAGAGTGATGCTCTTCTCTTATTCTTCCATTAAAATAATTAAAATAATTAATAATATTTATTTCGGAGTGATCTTGACCGAATTCTTCCTAACGGTCCATAACTCTGAGAATCTATCTCCAGGTACCAATAACATTCATTCATCACGGGAAATTCCTCTAATTTTTCTTAAGTCAAAGGTCAACCTCTAGACATTTGACTTTGACTTTTCCCGGATAGTATGTAAATAGGCTTCAAATTCCATTAAAGCCAACCTCTTCACTTTCTGGGGACGGAATTATTTTTAAAACCTGTGATACTTCCTCAAGTATTTTCCTTCATTTTCTTCCAATTATCTGAAGCCTCTTTATACTTTAAATAATTCATTTTCTATAATATTCAAAATCAGTCAAAACTCTGGGAATTCCACAATTTCCTTCCAAGGGCATTTTTGTTATTTTTAGCCTCATATAGGCCTCTAAACCTTATTCCTATTTTTCTGAAATTTTTCTAAGCTATTCATGCCTTAGCCTACCATTTCTCATTTTTAGGGATATTTCTGGGATTTTCGGGCATAATTTCCATTTCTGCTTTTACTGCCCAAAACTTTTCAAAATTAGGATTTTGCCCCGGTTTGGCTTGACCTTAAAATTCATCTCATTGAGGACTTGAACATAACCTTTGGCCTACATTCATCTCTATTTCTCATTCCTGGGCCCTAAGACTTTATTTGAGCCTCCAACTTCCTTTTTTCTCAGTGTCAGAAAACTTTCTCTTTGCAATTTAGTCCCTGGAAATCCCTCTGTCCGTCCAAGAAACCTCTAGGACCTCTACCAAAAAGGGTCTAGTAGTCTATCCATTTTAGGCTAATTCTGGTACTTCTAGGTCCAAAATTCGGGATGTGACATCTATTGTGCCAAAAGGGTATACTTTAGTACTCCCTCCGTTCCTTATTATAAGAGACGAATAACCAAATTACGTTGATAAAAAAAACAGTTAAAATTAGTTAAGAACAATCAATGTGTAAAAAGTATAATTTTTTTCCCAAAAATACCCTCATTAATAAGGAGAGAGAACAATGGTAAATTATTAAAAGAAAGAGAAGTGGGAAGGAGAGAGAATGTGAGTTGGAGACAATAAATATGGGTAAAATAGGAAATCAACACAAAAAAGTAGAGACAACTTTTAAGTGTCTCTTATATATAGGAACATACCATAAGCTTCAAATGTCTCTTATAAGGAACGGAGGGAGTAACTCTAAATGGACCTTCCCACTTGGTAACAAACTTCCCAAGCATCAGTTTCAACCGGGCTTTAAACTTTAGAACCTTGTCACCTTCATGAAACTACTTCCTTAGAATCTGTTTGTCATGAATCATTTTCAGCTTGTCTTTATAGATTCTGGCATTATCATAGGATTCAAGTCTTATTTCTTCAAGTTCTTGGAGTTGTATCTTCTGATTGACGAGTGAAGATTCGAGATTTGCATCATATGCCTTGATTGTCCAATAAGATTTGTGCCTGATTTTCATAGGTAGATGGCAAGCCTTGCCATAGAGCAACTGCAAGGGAGACATGCCTATAGGGGTCTTGTAGGCAGTCCTGTAAGCCCAAAGAGCTTCTTCAAGCCTTTCACTCCAATCCTTACAGGATGGTTTCATGATCTTCTCAAGTATTTGCTTCACTTCCTGGTTAGAGATTTCAGCTAACCCATTCGTTTGAGGGTGATAAGGAGTGGCAAGTTTGTGATTAACTCCATGTTTAGTGAATATATAAAGACTTCATGGTCCTATTGCAGAAGTGTGTTCTTTGGTCAATGATGATTGCTCTTGGAATACAATACCTACAAAAGATCTGAGAACGTAAAAACTTGACAACTCTAGAAGCATCATCTTTCCTAGTTGGCACTGCCTCTACCCATCAAGACATATAATCTACTGTAAGTAATATGTATGAAAACCCGAAAGACGGAGGGAAGGGATCCATAAAGTCCATGCCCCACACATTAAAGATTTCACAAAAATGCATAGGTCTTAGAGGCATCTCATGTTTCCTACCCAAACTCCCAAACCTTTGACACTTATCATAAGACTTGCAGAAAGAATAAGCATCTTTAAATAGAGAAGGCCAGTAAAGACCATACTCTAAAACCCTCATAGCAGTCCTATTAGCACTAAAATGCCCCCCACAAGATAAAGAATGTGCAAAGGTAAGGATAGAGTGGATCTCATTATTTAGAACACAGCGTCTAATAATCTGGTCATTATATTGCTTCCACAGGATTGGAGCATCCCAGATATAGTATCTTGCCTCCCTCTTCAGCTTATCAATATGAAATTTAGACATAGAAGGAGGCACAAGGTCAGAGACAAGATAATTAACTATGTTAGAGTACCGAGGCTCTTGAACAACCAAGGCAAAAAGTACAGAATCAGGAAATGAGTCAATAACAAGGTTAAAAGAATCAACTCCCTCTGTGCCTTTAGGTAATGACTAAGGTGGTCAGCTATATTGTCACGGCCTGAACTTAGGGGTGACTTGCACGGAATACAAGGAATGACTCATATTCCCTAAGCCTTATAGTATAACTAAGCCTTTGATCAACAACATTATGACATCGGTAGCCACATATAATTATCATTATAATTTAGGAAGATATGTACATATATCACATTTCCCTTAATCAAAAAATCGGGATCTTTATGGAGACTTCTACAAAGTCTCCCCAAAGTTTTATACAACATAAGGAGCTCCGCTCCACAGCAACATACATAAACATATATCTCAAAATAACAAAGAAGACAGGATCCTGCCTACAAGATACGTGGAGCGACTCTACTAGAATGTAGAAAAGCATATTTAAATATTTACATCAATTGCATAGTTCCAAAAGCAATCCAAAAAACTTCTTATCCTACGTGATCTTTAAGAACCAACTAGGGGAGCAGATTCGCTTGCACTATCTGTATGACAAAAATCATCCACTGGTAAATAATGTCCCCATAATAACAATTAAAAAATTAGTATCATCAAACGTATGAAGCTATGACAGGTAGGATAACTCAAATTTGTAAATAAGAACAATTGATTTATTTGTTAATTAATTAACAAACTAAGAATACAAAATAAGCAAGGAATAAATATCAATCTTAGGGAAAATTAATAAAATAGAGTTAGAAGCCTTACTTGGTGAAGGTTAATAAAAGAAGTTTACAAATCACTTTTGTTTAATATTAAGACTTCCACAGAACAGTAATAGGCATCGATACACAGTCCACGAGGGTAAATAACATGTCCGATGTAGCCAGAAGCCATGAAGCAGGCTTGAGAACAAAGCTCACAAAAATGGGCGTGAGTTCTACTCACGAAATCCATCCTCCGTTCCACATGTGTTGGCCATCACATGGGGCTAGCACCTCCCAAACTCACCCTGCTAGTTGTTAGGATTATGGTTTTGATGATAACAAAGTTAGATTAAAATTGGTTAGGTATGTTGATCGATCACCTAATCGATCAAATGTTTATCGATAAGCTGTCAGATAATTGTTCAGTATAAATCAAATGTATGTTAAGTATTTCAATCGATGAGATGTTCGGTAATTCATTAATTGATAAAATGATCGATCATCGTTAACGTGAAAGTCATAGAAGGTAACTGTCGGTTATCGATAGTTTAATCGATAATCCTAGATGATCGAACAAGTGACAGACAAAAAGAAGTGAATCTGGACTGATCTTATCGATCAAGTAATCAATAAATGAGTTATCGATAATGACATCGATAAATGGTAAGACACTCTACCTGTTTGAATAATGTTTCTAGCATTGTTTATCGATCACATTATCGATCATCTTATTATCGATAATATGATCGAAAATTGAGCTCTAACCCTCTTAAATGCAGGTACTGATTTTAGACTATTAATCGATAACTTTATCAAGCATCAAATTATCGATAACATGATCGATAATCTATGTGCCAATTGCTTCTACTTAGTTTTCTTTAGAACTAAGTTATCGATAACATTATCAATAATTAAATCTCCCCTACTTATCTCATTTTCAGATAACATGATTGATAAACAGCTTTAGTACAAATTCTTCCCATCATTGTTTATCGATAATTTGATCGAACATGTCTTGATCGATCACCTATTCGATAATTCTTGAATATCCTTGTTTCTCATGAAAAGTTTTACACTTGACTTTTATCGATAACATTATCGATCACAATTTTATCGATAATGTGTTCGATCAACATGCACTAAAGTTTCAATTCTGTAACACTTGAATTATCGATAAATTGATCGATCAACCTTTACTCGATAATCTAATCGATCATTTGATTTCTGTCAGTTTATTTTCAGCAAGCTATAACATTTCTCATACTCACTTGACTACTCACTTCCAAGATGTTTCTACTTGCACAATCCTCATGATTACTGCAATAAGTAATGCATATTTAAAGGAACTCTGATTTACATATCAATCGAAGATTTCCTGTTGCTCTTTATTGATCACCTGATCGATAAACCATTGTTCCATCATTTGATCGATAAACGTCTTCAACTAATCGAAAATTTCTTTTTCTGTTTTTTGATAACCAAATCGATCAATCAGTAATCGATCACCACTTCGATAAACCATTTCCAGAATTTCCTTCTGCACCTTTTACGGATAATTCATTCCATCTAGAATCATTGAGTAATCAATTAGTCATTCATCCTGATAAGCTTACACCATATTATTCTTACTTGTTTAAGTTTAAAATATGGATGCAGATTACTAAGAGAAATTACAACGGCTCTTCAATGAGATTACGTAACCTATAACCCGCAGTGTCAGAAAGCTCAGACGCATTAAGGGCGGAACCGTTGGAACTGGCTAAACACGCAAACGGAGTCACAACGGCTAGAAGCTCTTCCATCTAACGGATACTTAATGATCTCAACTATAAAAGGCGCGAAGAAGCATTAATGAGAGGATTGAATACCGGAGCTACCATTTGTGATTATTAAGTCTAGCATTCAATACTCTGTTTCTTCAATACTACTGAGCATTAGTGCTTATCATTAAATTTCACTCTGTAAGAGAGTCGATTTCTATTCTTTATTAACCACTATTGAGTGATACTCGAGAGTGTGGACTCTTGAGCAGGTTTGTATCCTTATGGGAGTAAGGGGGAGTGATTGAGTGATTCAATTACTTACTGTACTGAGGCACCAAGAGCCCGAACAATCTTGGAGGATAGTGGAATATCAGAGGTGTTCTGAGGACTGGACGTAGGTCAAGTGGTTAGGACCGAACCAGTATAAATCCTGTGTTTTCCCTTTGCGGTGAAATCTCCCTTAACTCTAGCTCTCTGTTTCCGATATTGTCTGTTTTTAATTCCAAGAATTTTTTTAACTCACCCAATTCACCCCCCTCTTAGGTGAGATTACTTCTAACACTAGCTAGGTGTGCCATGGCGAGCCAGGGGCTAACAGAACTACCGTTAGCAACCAGTGTTCTGTTTTCGGTCCTTTGAAAACAATTTCCGTCATACGTGGAAGTAAACAACTTTGGATTACAAATCAAGTTCAATATGACTTGGATAAAGCTTCCTTAAGAAAATCTTATTCCTTCTGTGTATGCATAAAATATTTCAATTAAATAAGAGAAATGAAATAAACAGATAAATACTTAACATTAAAGAAATTAATAATACTTAAAACATATGAGTTTAATAAAGAAGTTATCAATTCTGAATCTTATGTGACGTTATTTACTCACCTATTAATTTAATAGCTATAATCTAAAGCATTTAATAGTCTTCAGATGTGGCTCCGCTTTAATGCCCTAACAGACAAATAAAATTATGTTCACTTAACAATAAAGAGATTAATAATATATATATATGCTTCTACGCATACACATCTATAAATATATTTAAGAAAGTTTTTTTTCCTGTTTTTTTAAAAAATAAGACTCCTTTCTTAACCTTTACAAGTCCAAATAAAATACTGAGTTTTATAATTCACTAAATCTTCTAATATAATTGAAATACTAAAGTTTTAAGCACCTATACAAATAAGCAATCATTCACCAATCTATGTTTACAATGGGTCCAAAAACAAGAAAGAATCATCTTCGTTTCAATAAATATATAAAGTATAAATCTAATGCTCAATCTGATATGAATGAGAATACAATACAAATATATGTTTACACAGTCAACATAGATAGTAATTCAAGTTCTAATGTAAAACTTAAATAGTTACAAACTCATCTTTTTTCCTCAAGCACCACATAAAAATCAGAGTTAAAGTCACAATCTATCCAAAATAGTATCCATATTGTTCTCTCTCATTAAATGTTATACAAACACTCAAGAAATTAAATCTCTTTTTTCTTGTAGGACATTTCATCAAACACTTTAAGGGCACCCAACATGAACATATAAAACAAGCTTCAATTTAAACTAAAGAAATTCCTCAAGTCTACTTTTTTTTAAACCATATTTATCAAACAATTTAAGTAACAGCACCCAAACAATTCTCAAGCTTCAAACAATTCCTCCAATCAAGCATTATAAATTACCTTTCAAGATAATCCCTCCTCTCATGTTTTACTCAACAAGTTTCCTCCAATCCCTTCATTTTTTTACACACACACACACACA